AAAAAATAAGGTATAAGAAGGGTTTCAAAAAACAAAAGTTTGCATTAGTATCGGACGCTTTTATATTTCTCTAGAGGCTCTGTACACGCCCTTAGTTGCCCCAACAAAGGTCGACTGGACCAGGGCCCACAAGTGGTCCCCTAGACGCCACCAAACCAAGGGCGGAGCCCAAGTGGCCTATGGATAACGATTCCAAAAACGGCTGACAAAAAGGCAAGCACCACTTACCGACTGCGGAGGTAGGGTTAACCACGGGGTACTAGTCAGGTGATAAGAGATGTGCATGTAAGTAGTGTTAAGTAGTATTTACAATATGTAGCCTGATATCCCCGCTAATCCTGGACTGCAGATCTCAAGGCGCTACCTCTCTCCAAATGTGGGATCCCTCCAGGGGGGCGTTCACCATTTTTTTTCAAAAAAAGAATATTAACAATGCTATAAACATTACTAATATTCCCCGTAACCACTCATGGTAAGCTTAAATTGCTTTTGTTACGAGTGGTTCACGCCAGTAGTCGAATGGCGGATTCGAACTCACGACCTTTTTGAGTTCGCGGTTCGCGCCCTGCCATTAGGCTACTGTCGCGTCTAATTGAAACTTCTGCTTCTATTTTCACTATATTAGTTTATCAACTTTATTGTACATTTAATTAACTTCAAATTCAACCAAATCAACGTTAATCGACATTAAAACAAGTGACACGCTGCACAACTTATGGACGGTAGGTCAAAGTTCAAAGTCCCAGGTTCACTTAGCACAAAATTATAACCACGAGAAGAACGCATTCTCGTCTAGAGGCCCAAACGTCCAGCGTTCTCCCGACAAATTAAAAGTCTTATCACGCTATCAAACGACGCACTAATAACTCGTTGATGCAATTAATGTCATAATAGTTCCTTTAATCACTCCAAACTCCAAGTAGGCCCCTTCACACGTAACACGTTCAAAACAGACAACTAAATTCGAGGCGGTCTAATTACACCCAAGTGTTCAATAGTAATTCAAAATGGCGGACACAATTAACTCAGATTTTAGGCCTTCATTAAAAACACCGGCCGCCCGCAACTGTATACCAGTCACAAACAATACTTAAACGGTTACAATAATAATTATATGATTCCGGCCTCGTTATCACGAAAACAAATTAAGATAATACTGTAAGAGGCTCGCGAAGTATAATCGACCCGGGCGTCGCGCAAATAAAACTCAAGAATAAGCCTCGTTGTTAAGTATATTAACGACAAAATACAACACCATGGAGGCCTTCTATAGGTGACGCAAAATTATATCAAACTCGCGACCTCTAAATCGACCTGGGCGTCGCGCATCAACTATTATGTAACTCCCGACGTCTAACCGGTGTTGTTTCACCGCTCAAGGATTCCGGCCGACTGGGGCGCTTGCTGTGCGCGTACGACACAGCAAGCCCCCGCCTTTCGCGGAACGCTAACCGTTTCCTCACCCCGCTCGAGATTATGGTGATGATAGATTATCGTGCGTGAACAAACCCCCATCCCGGACATAAGGGCCTATGTCCGCGAGTAAATTGGCAAACGGAATAGGGTCGCGACGGCACGTTGCAAGACCGAATCTCCAACCAAAACCTGGGCCACTAACGCGACGGAGATGCGCTCTTGCAACCTCAACCACCGCCTCAAATCACCGCCCCAACGTGGGCAAGCCTTCTGGTCCTTCCGGACATCGAGCAGCCAATAAGTCCTGTTCAGGACAGAAATTCGACAACCTCCTTCAAATATCTATCCGTACCCCTACAATCCGTTCCGCAATCCGACCAGATCAGTTCCGGTAAACCGCGACGCCATACGAAGCGGCCCAGCGTGGCCACAAAGGCTTCAGTGCTGAGGGCACTTGCAAGTTTTAAGTGAACAACCATGGTGGCGAGGCACACGAGAACGCACAGATAGGCCTTATGTGAACGCGCGTTACGTAGGTTGGAGGACTTGACGAGGAAGGGGCCAGCAAAGTCTTTTCCAACTTCAGCGAATGGTCGGATGGCCCTGACGTGGTCGGGTGGCAAGTCACACATCATCAAGAGGGTTATATGTTCGAATCTCGGGTCGGGCCAAAATCAGTTATTGGGTTTTTCTGTCAAGAAATTCTTAGAAGCAGCCTGGAGTCTGGAAGTTGGAGGTGTTTAATCCACGCGCCTCGGAAAGCATGTAAAGCCGTGGCTCCTGCCTGATCTCTCTCCAGTCACGTTGGGTAACTTGTGTTTGAACATGACTTATGTACTATAATCCTTATCCGTGCAGGTGGCTACTCCCTATCGAGATTGGCCGTCATGACCGAAAGTCGTTCTGTAGAATATTATTATTACTATTAAATCATTATTATTTTGGGGTATATATATATATATAGTTTTCTCATCTGGTTGGGTTCTATAAATATATAATTATAACTTAAAATGAAAAGATAAATATACATGAATATTAATAAAATAAAATAAAAATACAAAAATACATAAATAAACAAAGCTCCAACCAGATGGAAGCCCTCGGCAGGGGAGACCAGACGGCCGAGGGTTAGGAGGAAAGGGAAAGAAACCGGCGGACGATGCGGGCGGTATCGAGGAGCACTGCCTTCTGCATTTGAGCCCGGAGTGGTCCGTCACGGAGTCCCAGTCGCCTCAGATGACCCGAGAGGCTGACTGGGATTAGCACATTCGCAGAAACGACTACAGGAATAATTTCGGCCGACAGACCACCTCACATATCAGTCACCTCGTGAGCCAGGTCCAGATATTTTGTTCGATTATCTGTTTCGGCTTTCAGGAGGTTCACGTCATACGGAATGGTAATGTCGACCAAAAATATCCTTGACTGTGCCCGGTCCATCAGCACAATATCAGGCTTATTCGCAAGAATAGTCCTGTCTGTGATGATGGCCCGGTCCCAATAGAGCCTAGCGCGATCATTTTCGAGTACGGCTTCCGGTAAGTACTTGTAATACGGCAACTTCCGATCCACGAGACCATATTTCAGAGCAAGCTCCTGGTGAAGAATTCTGGCTACTAGGTTGTGTCTGTGCAGGTACTCAGAGTTAGAAATCGCCGAACAACCGGATATGACATGCCTAAGTGACTCACCGGGATGGCGACAAGCTCGACAGATGTCGAAGGTATCATCCTTTAGGATGTATCTCCGATAGTTGTTGGCCTTAATAACCTGATCTTGTATTGCACAGACAAAACCCTTCGTTTCCCCGAAGAGGTCACCAAAGCGTAGCCAGTTTAGGGAGGCTACTGTGTCTACGAAAGGCTCATGTAGAGCCTTGTAGAACCTCCCGTGGAGCTCCTTCTCCTTCCATACGGTCTCCCGGTCGGAAATGCTCTGCACTGCCAGGTCTTGTCATTGCTCGTTCGCTAAGGATAGAGGGGTAGGTCCTTTATCACAAGAAATTACGTCCTTATGGAATGGATCATCCGATCTCGCCAGAAAGTAATCACGGCGGCTGCACACTTCGCGATTATGCATGGTGAGTATGCATGGTGAGCAAAACCTCAGGAAGCCACGCCCACTATGCTTTCGCGGCAAGTACAACCTCATTACCGACGATCTCGGATGATGCATCCTGTGGGACGTCATGGTAGTGCGGACTTTTCTATCCAGGGCGTTAAGCTCAGTCTGAGTCCACCTGAGTATGCCAAAGGTATACATGAGGACAGGCATGACCCAGCCGTTATATGCGTGTGCCTTATTCACACCGGACAAAAGGCTGTTAAGCACTTTGGTCAGGCGTGCATAAAACATGTCGCAAACTGACTGTTTCATACCAGCCTCATCGATACCGATGTTCTGTGACATACCCAGGTATCGGTATGTTTCAGCCTCGGAAAGGGTTCTTAAGTTGACGGGCATAGATAAGTCTATGCCCTCAGAGTTAGTAACCCTTCCCCTTTCAACATGAAGGATCGCACACTTATCCGTCCCCAGCTCCATTCCAAAGGAATTGCTAAATTCACAAGTGATGTTTAGCAATTCCACAAGATGGGCGCGACTGGAGGCGAATAACTTGAGGTCATCCATATAGAAAAGGTGGATCACTTTTGTCCCTCCTTTCCGTAGCTGAAATCCCCTCCCGCAGCCCTCCAGTAAGGTACTGAGAGGGTTCAGAGAGAGGCAGAACCAGATTGGACTCAGACAATCGCCCTGGAATATAACCTTTATTATCCCTATGTGGTTCTCCGCAGCCATCATTCGCTCGCCCAGATGACAAAGGATCGTACTCCATTGCCCAATACACTGCTCGAGGAAGTCTCTAACTACAGTCTATCTTGTACAGCTCGAGGACCCTCTTTAGCCATGTATGCGGCACCGAGTCAAATGCCTTTCTGTAGTCTATCCAGGCGGCGGAGAAGTTCCGACGATTGCGTTTCACCTCTGTGCCAATGACCGCGTCAATGAGGAGTGGTTCCTTGGTTCCACGACCACCGCCCCGACATCCATTTTGAGCGCGCGACATCACCTGATTTGAGTCCAGGTGACGAGTGATTCTCGCGCTCAAAATGTATGTTAGTGTCTTGTATATGGTCAATAGACACGTAATGGGGCGGTATTTGCTCGGGTCTGTGGTACGCTGGTCTTTAGGAACCAAATGGGTGATCCCAGTAGTGAAGAGGCTCGGGGGCGACTTCTGGTTGAGAGCCTCTTGAAACTATCGGGCGAGCACAGTGTGACACACCACGAACCCCTTCAGCCAGTAGTGAGCCCGTCGAGTCCCGGACTTTTCCAGTTCGGGGACCTACGGACCGCCTCCGCTACGTCATCCGGTGTTATAATGACGGGGTCCATGGGCGTTATACTCGCACACTGACTCGCCACAACTTCTGTCCAAGGGACATCGCTGTGGTTTACGGGCTCTGACCACAAGGCCGCGCCAGAATGCTACAGTGTCGGCCTGATTCGGTGCTGGGCCCATTCCACTTACCATTGGTCGTTCCAATGATTCATAGAGCCTCTTCAGATCACTCTGGAAGAGACTATTCTGGTTGAACCGTGTCAACCTCTCGGTATACTAGGTATATCGGTCGAATCCGCTTTCCCCAAGCAGCGATTCTCTGCTGCAGATCATCTATGCGCTCCGTTAGTTTTTGCGTTATATCCGGCTGGGACAAACTGACATTCGTCCCAGCAAACGCCATCCTGACGGTGCGCATAATTCTTGGCCTGTTATTGCCTGATCTGAAGCATATCAGTCTGTCAATGAGAGCTCTAGCCTTTGCGATACGTTCCTCAATTCTTCTTCTCCATGCTGGGATAGCGCTAATTTGGCCAGTAGCGCGTCCAGCCGAGGAAACATTGGCGCCTATGATACGGCAGACTGCCAGCGCGGCGCCAAAAAGAATTGAGTCCGTCTCGCAAAGGTCCCGGCAGGCTTCCAAATAGGTCACCAGCATTGGGTTCAGAGCCCTCACGACAGCCTGATTCCGCTTGCTTAGGGTTATGCGGGGAAGTCGCGGTCGATTTTCGAGAGGCGTACTGCGCGTTTCCACAATCGCTTCTTCCAATGTACTCCTCATATGCTCTAATTCTAGTTCCTGGGCGACTGTTCCATCATCGTTTGAATCAACCACAACTGGGGTATTCACGGCGGCATCCAAGTTTGCAGGTTGCTCTACAATTTGTGGCGCCGCATCCTCAGCCGTAGCATTTTCATCCGATGAGGGAACAGCCTCACGTCGTAGCCGTTCGAGTTCGGCGACATCATTATTATTATTATTATTATTATTATTAGATAGCATCTTTGACGCTGTTCCCCCTCGTCGGTCTGGGAGTTTTACGTCTTGCGTAAATGAAACTGTTAGATATACCCACGTCTATCCGAATTTGTGAAATTTTCTATTCTATTCTATTTTCTAGCATTTTCTATAGCAGCCTTTCACAACATGCACGAAATATGGTGGTAGAAATTCTAACGCCATCACCACACGGCAAATATTATTTATCACGTTTATGTTTGGTCGTTATATTTCCGAGTCGGAGTAACGACTCAGAAATATAACGACAAATGTAACGTTGGAGTAATTTGTTGCAGGAATTAAGTACAAATTGTAGTCAGTCCAAATTATTGTTTCACAAATAAGCAACTAAAGTAAAATACTATCGTTGGACCTAGACCTTCTTTTATACCTGACAAGATTTTAGAGCCCATCACACTATTTCAATATTAGTTTGCACTTGTCATACTTCACATGAGTTTGAAATAATACTAATGTCTTCTAGGCGGAATTGCAGTCATGGCGGCCAGTCTCAACGAAAACTAGCCCTCAGCGCAGGACAAGATACTGTCCGAGTGTATGCGCAAATATAGGTGTACTCTCTATTCCTCCTATCTCATAGACACGACTGGAGAGAGATACGGAGCGAGACCAACGGCTTCATGTGCTTTTCGAACCCGGGATGATCTTGTAATCTTTAGTAATTACGAGCATAGTAACATTAGAACATCAAAAAGGTGACAGTCGACGCTAAGAATGGTGCAATACTTTTGACGAAGATAGTCGTCGAGCTACCTTACGAATTGCCTTCAAAGATACAAGTGATCAAATCATAAATATTTTAATTGTCTTCGAACTGACATTGAAGACGTTGTACTAGTGAATATAGATAACTTTTCATCAGCGCATGATTACTGGGTAGGGTGATTGCTAAGAATCCTGGCTTGAACATTGCTACTAGAGTAGTCACACTTAAATGCAATGAGCTTATCAGTAACAAACTGACACTGTTTTTGTGTAAGCGCGCTATATTTTGTTTACTGCATTGACCTCACGGTGCGCGGGAATAAAAAAACGTTGTTTTGAGGCGACAGAAGCCTAATGGCAGGGTGCGAACTGCGAACTCAAAAAGGTCGTAGGTTCGCATCCACCATTCGACTACTGGCGTGAACCACTCGTAACACAAGCAATTTAAGCTTACCACGAGTGGTTAAGGGAAATATTAGTAATGTTTTTAGCATTATAAATATTCTTTAAAAAATATTATAGCTTTATAACTAAAATTACTAATTATTTGGGGCTATCACGTCGATGACGGTACCTTGGTTGTAATTTAATTGTTTTAGGTTGTAAATAGTTCACGTCAGAATACAATTTAATTCTATACTTTATCGCAATTATTATATACGTACCATTATATAAAAATAATTATTAAAATTATAATAATTACAATTAATACTAATTATACACAATATAAAAAAAAGATTTTTTTAATTTTTTTAAAATTCTATATGTATTTAATTGGTAGTTGTAAGTGCCTGTAGGCTAGCACAACATACAGAAAGCATTACTGTTATGTTAAATTATCTAAACTGATACACACTTTACGAGTACTTATCTATATAGTACTTGACGTATTGTGGTTTGGTGTTAATTATTGGTAAATTAGCGCATAACGCAGGTTTAGTAGAGTAGTCATATACAACCAAACATGCTAGTTTGCTCCCTCATAAATATAAAAATTAAATAGAGTCATTGATTATTTTATTAGTCAACAAAATATGTGCGATTGTAAGTGTTTGAGTCACGCTGCAGCTATATTATGGTTGTAGCACGAATGGGTCGGCTTGACCTGGGAAGGACCACGCTCTAACATTCGTCAACCAGCGTAAAATAGCAGCTTGATGCTGCTGTATTTCGTATGGTGAGTGTAGAGAACCAGAGACCCGTTTTACTGGAATCGAGGCATTCCATCTTAGTCCTCAGGGGTGACAACGCATCTGCATTTTGAATCTTAATCGAGGATAAATGTAGATTTCTATGGGCCACAACATCTACTTACCATCAGGTGAACTGTGTACTCGTTTTTCACCCTTATCCTATAAAAAATGTAAAAATATATGTCGTGGCGGCGACTCGGGGCTATTTTTTGGTGAAGCAGCATGACTGTCCCCATTCGACAAGGGCTCAGTTGTGTTGCCGTGTATTTATGAAAATGGTCTAAGATCACACACTTATAATTTTACTCTTCACTTCTTGTTAAAAAACTCACAAATAATGGTCACAAAGTTTTACAAGAAAAATCTAGACACGCGGTAGCGTGTCAAGCCAAGTTCACGCAGAACGGCGAGGCACACCGTGTGTAATATCACACGAACCATTTGGAGCCACTTTTGACCCCCTCATAATTCAAAAACTATTTAACATAAACGTGTCAAATTTTTATATATTGATAATTACGAGATACATATGTACTTCAAATTTCGTAAACACATCTCTAACGGTTATTTAGATATTAACGTCCAAAAATCGTCATTTTTATAACTGACCTATAGATCAAAACTCTAACCCAGTTCCAGATGACCTAGAAAGTTCAAATTTGGCATGCAGATAGGTAATTAGGTGAATACAAAGGAATAAATCAGAAAATGGTAAAATTTTATCATTTTATTATAATTTTTCACTTAATTGATTCTATTATGCTGCGGCTACACTAACGAGCAACGTCAATGCCCATAAACACAACAATTATTGCCTTAAATTTAACGCGATAAAATGAGTTGAACGGCATTAAATTTGCCGTTGAACGGCGTTAAATTTGCCGTTGAACGGCGTTAAATGTTTCGACCGGGGAAGGACCACGCTCTCACAGAATACCAGCGTAAAATAGTAGCTTAATGCTGCTGTGTTTCGTATGGTGAGTGTAGAGAACTGGACACTCTTTTTACTGGAAACGAGGCATTCCATCCTAGTGACAACGCATCTGCATTTTGATTCGTAATCGAGGATAAATGTAGATGTATATGGGCTACAGCATTCACATACCATCAGGTAGACTGTGTGCTTGTTGGTCACCCTATCCAATAAAATAAAAAAAATAAACGAAGAAAAAAAGAATTCAAAGAAAAAAAAAGATGGTGGATGCTACAAATGCACAGGAAACGTACACTGTGAATCTATTTATGTTTTATTTTGTTTTCCCGCACCCAAATTGTACTAGAAAAACGTCCAATGGTTTCAGCTAAATAATAAGACAAACGTAAATAAAGTTTAATGAAATAATAACTAATAAGCCAAATCATAAATACTGGTCAAGTGCGAATTAGATACACGTACCCAGGGTTTCGCATGCAATTGTTTTTTTTTCTCCTGCTTATTTTTCTTAGTTTTATACCGTAAATTAAAGTACTTTTGAAGTAATTTTTTAATTCAACCTCGAAAAGCTTTTTCATTACTCCACTCCATTGCAGCCATACGTGCAACCCCGTGGCACTCACCGTGCACAATGAGACAAATGTAGTGTGGGCGCTTCAACGCGATAATTCGCGCGTTAATCCTTTGATATACCGCCACTCGAGTTATCGTCAAACGAGAAACTGCATTGTTAATTCCGTTGTCAAATTATCGCGTTAATTCGTGGCCACACCTGCATTCAACATCCATCAACGCGATAATTAACGGCATTTCTCCTTAGTGTGGCCGGGCCATTAGGAACACCGCGGTGCGACGCCTGAGCAGCGGGGTGGGGGCAGTACGGCAGCCGGTCGCGCTCATAAGCGCGAGCGCCGTCTTGTTGTCCGATTGTCTCTCGATATGCGACCTATATAGGTTGCGCATAGGTTGCGATTTATGCTACAATATTCATAGGTTATCTTAAAAATACTTTTATATTTGTGGTTATATTACTATTACAATTATTTTAGTAAGGCCGGGTTTTAGGAGGTGGATTTTAAAAATAATAATAATTTAGTATAGTTATAATTAGGTATGTATTTATGTATACTTAACTCTGAATGAGTTTGAGAATGAGAACTTATTAGTATGTTAACAAATCGTTTTTCTTGAGAACTCAATAGATAGCAGGTAATTTGATTGACGATTGACGATTACGTAAATCGTCTTAAATGATTATCTTTTTATTACCTATATTTTACAATAAATCGTACAATAGAATTACGGATGGGTGACACAATTACCTTACACCTAATTATCCAATGCGGGCCGATGGAAGCTGCCTATTCCATTCGATTACCAAGTTTCAGATATTAGGTAATGTATTTGTTCACAGGGAATAATTCCCTATTCGCTTGGCATATGTTATTACTATCCACAAATCACAAGGCCTTAGCCTTGACAGTGCTCTTCTCGATATAGGCTCCTCTATATTTAGTACAGGACAGACTTATGTTGGACTCTCAAGAGTTAAAACCTTAGATGGAGTACATCTTATCAATTTAAATCTAAGTCAAATCAAGTCACAAGAGAGCTCTATTGTAGAGTACAACCGTCTGCGCACGTTATTCCACCCCGACCTAACCAAATTAAGTATAAACAGAAAATGCGATACTGAATGGGCTATTCACTCGAACATATCAAAGGTACAAGAAAATATATAAAATAGCACAAAAAAGACAAAAATACCCCGTAAACATAGAAAATACAGTAGTTTAACAAAAACCATTTGGTATTAATTTTGTTATAAATAAGTACCCACTAATAATTTATATACAAAACGTAATGATATCCCATCAAAAACATAAATGTGAAATGAGAGCCAAGTTCAATATTGTGATATATGCCTTGATTGTTGACTTCAACGACAAAAGAAGTGAGATCTAAATGGGTGCCAAGTTCAATGGTCAGTCCTGAAATTTATTTCTAACAACATAAAATATCATTTCTTACATACATAAACACTCACGCCTGTCACCCAGAGGGGTAGGCAGAGACTACAGACTTCTATTTGGCACGATCCTGACACACCTCTCTTGCCTCCTTCACATCCATACACCTACGCATACATG